ATAATTATATAATATTATATATTTTTTATCAAAATAAATAATAAATTTTATATTTTTATAAAAAAATAATTAATTTCATCAATAATATATATAATTTAAATAAAACACAATTTTAAATATAATAAAATATAATTCCAATCAAATATTTAAATTTTATTATATTTATTTTTATTTTAAAAAATTCATCAATTAATTATATAAAACAAAAATTTCAATAATTTCATATTTTACCATATTTCACCATATATTATTTAATTTTAATGTATATTATTTTTAATTTTAAAATAACATATTAATATATATATATTTTATTAATTTTAAATTTTAATTTTATATATATATATATGATTTCTTCAAAATAAAATACCATAAATATAAGAAAATAATATATATATATATTCCCTATAATAATTTAAGAAATATTTCGACTAACTAAGATTAATGATATATAAAAATTCTATATATTTATTTATAAAAAATATGAATATCAATCATTATAATTTTCCTATTAATTAAATAATTTAATTAAGAAAATATTAAGATAATTCCCTGAGAATTCCTAGGCAAAATGTTTAAAAAAAATAATCTGCAAATTTATACCAAAAAAATAGAGGCTACTTAAATTATCCCATTTCCTCGAGGAAATGGCAATAGGGATACATATATATATATGTATATTCATAAAATTTGTGTTTACATTAATATCCAAAAAATATAAAATTCTATTATATAAAATATTTTTTCTAATGAGATATTTCCGCTTTTGCGGATCTAGAAAGAATTTGAATTTATCAATTGATTCGAGCCCGTCATTATTTTCGAATCATCAAGACTCCATTCCATTAGCACGATAATTCATATATGGTTATTGTACATTTTATTCTGTAGTGGAAAACCGGAAATGTGATAGTGCGAGAAATGACTTGTTGACATCATCCTTTGCGCATGTTGGCAGCATACACAGGAATCAGAATATATTACAGTAGAACAAAAAGAAACGCAAACACAGCAGCAGATGCTGTGGGCTTAGTTGGAATTCCCCGGCGAAGTGGTTCGAAATTGACGGTTTCGAATCAGCCGACCCTTGCACCGCTGCTTCAAACACGTTTGGGAAGCCTCCACCTTGACCACTATCCATCCTCTATCGCTGGATTTCGCGTAGGGAGAACCATGAGAAGCCAATCTACACAAAGACATTGCGACTCCGAAAAAGTTGACTTCAGCAACCTGAAGTTCCAGATCGTGAGACTCTGTCATGGAGGACAACAAATGCTCCGTCTATTGGTTCATGATACTACGGGTCCAGTCCATTGCGAGATCTTCAAATAAGTTCTGTAAGACTGACTACATGAATCTAAGGCAGAACCAGCTCAGAAAACTGCCAGGGTTGTTTCTACAATTCCAAAAAATATGCTTCTTGAGAGCGTTGTCTGCTCAAAAAAAATGTTTAAGCAACAGAGATGGTTCACCCACCCTAATTGTTCCATCAAACATTTCCCTTTCCAGCCCACGATGAACTGGCTGCTTAATAGGTATTCATAGGTATCCAGTTAATTTTTCGGTTATCACAATCCCCAGGAAGTTAGGTAGGTTCTTAAGCCCCATGTCATACGCAATTAAACATCATAAAGTATATCCCCATTTCTTTAGTGGTTATAAACTCTATGGCCCTATGGTATCACAAAGACTTCTGGAAACTTTGGTTCGGTGTCTAAATCTCATGGTGGCCCTGGTTCCTCAGATTTCTTCTTCATCTTCTCTTGCAGCTCATCGTGCTGTAAGCGCGAGGCGCAAGGTGAGGTTGCTTTAGATCAAATGGCTATGATTCACCAACCAAAATGGGGATTGACATGATTTGAACTAGCTTAGCAGGTCTGGGATTTAGCCTATCAACATAAATATGTATATGTATATATATATATAAAATCAGGAATTATATATCAAAATTGGGAATTCATCTCATGACATCTATAGAATAACAAACAACAAATGGAACATAGCAGAAACACACACGGGTTTGTGTCAAAATGTGGGATTTACGAAAAGATATGTTATTCTTTCATGGGGAAACGCCGGGGTCCAATTTTTTGACACATATCAGTGGTAACTGGGCAGTAGGTTCACATCCCAACACGACAACCATTTGGGCGCAACACTTTTGGGATGTGAACTACAGGGCGCCAGTTCTTTTTTTTGACCTATAGCTATCTGTCTATCTGTGTGATATAGTGACATATTGCTGCAGGGTAAAGAGGGATATGGGTATGCGTGTGGATGCATGTACAAACAGCAATGAGTCGTAGCCATATCAACTCCATGTGGGCTACAGCTAGGATAGGTCCTAACTATGCAATATGACTGTTTGTCAGCTGAGCTATATCAATAGTTAATAACTGGAGTATATATTATATTGCCATGTACACTCAGACCGGAGTCCGGACATAAATCTACATGCTTACATACCTTACTTATTGGTCGGTAGCCGAAGTGGGACGCTTACCTGCGACTGCCTCAAGTTGCAGCTGTCAAGGAAGTAAATTCACTTGTACAATGACAGGATCTGAGATATAGGGATCTCACTCATAAATGACAGTGAAGGTCTTTGTGAAAGTTAGAGGCGTGCAACTGTGTAACAGGGTATACAAGCAAGAGCTCAACAGTTGCATAGCTGCTCAATCACTTTTCCCCAAATCAAAAAATCCTAGTTCTTTCCGTGTCGTGTCCGACTTACTTGATATTACTTGGAGGTTTGATGTGTCATGAGCTGGGATGTTGTTAGCAACCATCTACGATGCCGGCCCCCCGAGTTATCAGTTGGTTTACCAACCGTTCCAACCATAGAAAAATCTACCATAAACTATAGACTATAGTTGGCCTAGCTGTGTTTACCAACTTACCTTTCATGAATCAACTATAAATACAATTCAATTGCCAATGTTTTCTTGCTTAACTTTCACATTTCAGTCAAAATGCTCCATTTTTGCTGGAAAACTCCCGATTTTCCCATCATCTTGGGGGTCCAAATTGTAGTTTGACAAACATTCTTCGCCAGTGCAAGGCTGCGACTCCTTGGTGACTGTAGATTTATATAGAGTCTGTATATACATATACACGCTGTACAACATATGCATGATACATATATATATATATACATACATATATATATATATGTATAATATATATGAAAACATATACCTACGTATTTATATATCTGCATCTATATTTATGTCTATATCTATATTCAACCCGCCGAAAATATCATGGTCATCCTTCTCATCCCCCTCCTCACAGGGTCACAGTCGGTCATACATCTCTCCATGCCAGATCAACCCTCCGCACCTCGCGCAAGAGCCTCTCGTACTGCTGTTGCAACTCGGCAATCTGCGCGATGTGGGAGACGTGGGGATAACCATGGTATTTTCAGCCCCTTAAGTTGGGATATACCCCCTATCACAAACAAGACCGTCCCACCTTCAACGCTTTGAATCCTTCATCCAAGGAAGTGATGATAAACAGGCTCCAAAAATGGGGGTGTTCGCAGTCGTGATTTGAACCAGGATTAAACTTGGTCCAGGTATATGATACTGTATCCTCAATTTTCCTCTCAGTATTTTTGGACTTACCAAGCTCACTGAAGATCGATTGACCAGAACCCAGCATCACATCACAGCAGCGGCTACAGAATCAAAGACCAGTATCGGACGCAATGGCCTTTTGAATGGGTCTTACTCACCAGTATTTATCATAAGGTCATACCAGGTCGCAACTGAGGTTGCTATATTTTTCCCAGAAAGAAAAAACATGTTGCAGCCGAGGCCGTTATGACTTTCCTAATCTATCCTGTGGTTGCGAAACTCAATTCGTAGCTCCCCGTCTTCCATTTCATAGGGAATGTGTATACTTTTCCTTCCCTGGCTCCCTACCAACCACCGGATAGCGGGACAACACATTGCACCGTCTTTTTGCTCGCGTTTTTCGCGTCACCTACCCCCTTAAGGGCTCAGCCATGACCTTCCTGCATGGGTCATGATTGGTGGTGGACCTACTGAGCACAAGAAGTTGGCGAGATAGTCGTGCTTAAATAGGAATTGAACATGAGAAATAAATTGACACCTGAGTGTGCTGCACGAATCTTCCAAACTCGCCCTATACTCTAGATGTTGAAACCATCTAGTACGTGCGTACTTTGACGCCATTTTTCTGTACAATTGCAAAGGATGCAATATTGATGAGATTCGCCGGCAAGAGTTTCTTTGGGACATTTATTTGGCCCCAATGGTTGGCACTGGTCGATTTGAAGAAACCATTTTGCATTATACTTCAAATTCAAACAACTTTCAAATCTTTTGGAACTGACATGCCCCAAAATCTGAGTCAAAAAATGATAATCCAGAACAAACAACTGCCAGCCTGCATACCATTTAGTGCTATGATGTGCTATATCCGTAGTCTTTTAGCCGTTGAATGAGTGGTTCAGGGTGGGGTCTCTTGCGTCCTCAGCTCAGCCGCTGGAAATTGGTGGACATAGGATAGCCACCTCCAGAAATCCAGCGGCAATGGGCAAGGTCAACGGATGGTGTTTCTGTTTTTAAGCAAACAATTGGTACATACTGTAATCCATTCTGAATGGAAAAAAATCAACCAGTAACAAATGTTTGGTAAGCTGGCAAAAGTAAAAACACAATGATCGAATCGACACTATTCTTTTATATATTCACAGACTTTTAACGATTCACCATTTTATATACTATTCTTCATCTTTGTTCTAGTCCCATCCTAATATTAAACACCCCCAAAAACCATGGTTCAATAGGGGTGGCCGCAGATCTTTTGGAACCATTTTGGTGGGATTTTCTCATCACTCAGTCGCACCTTGTGGATATCGTCCATCGACACGGAAATGGCACCGGTCAATGGATTCACCGAGATGTAGCTGTGGGTGTTGCCCCGATCTTTGAAGGTGCCCCTCGGTGAAAGAGTCCAATGGTCATACCCGGTAGGAGCTGGTTTTATCTAAATTATGTTTGTATAACACATATATATATAAATATAAATATAAGTATAGATATAAATAAATAAATAATGATATATCTATATCCATTATATTCCATTATCTGTACTTGTAGCAGTAATAAGACTGAGGTTACATATACTGGTTGATATCTGGTAGGTATGATGCGGGTGTGCCAATAAAACCGGCTGATTCTGCGAGCATCCTGGCAGGATAGTCGTTGATATTCATCAACTGGCAGTGTATCTATGATACCTACAATGGTGGGTGATTCTGTGGGTAAACCAAGATGTATGAGCACATGCAATATTTACATATATTTAGAGTATCACCATATGCGGACTATTTATGCATATGTACAACCCCCTGTAATGCATTCACGCTGCTCTGACAAAAGGACTACGGTAATCTTTCTTCTTTTCTCTTGCATCATGTTGTGTAATTGACAGCTCATTTTGGCAAACCCAAACAGGATATCCATTTCATCAACTACTTACACTGCAGGTACCAGCTTCTGCAAGTTTACACATCTGTGTAAATCAACTGGGCTTGTCTGAAACTGGGGTACCCAATGCCTTCCAATGGTTTATCATCATTTTCCTGAAACCAAGGCCAACCTTAGATACCATGTTTTTTGTTCATGAGCTGGTTAGGCTAGCATATCCCGATTTGCGGCAACAGATTAGAGTATCGAAGTACCATTCGAGTTGGTTGACCGCTGATTGCTGGGTCCAGGCCAAGATCTCGCGGTTGCTTTGGCGTCAAACTCTATGGCCACTACTACTAGTGCAGAGTGTGTATATATATATAAATGTTGATAAAAATGTTTATATGTTTGTTTATATGTATGTTTATATGTAAGTATGTAAGTATGTAAGTATGTAAGTAAGTATGTATGTATGTATCTATGTATGATATGGTAGGTATGTATGTATGTATGTATGTATGTATGTATGTATGTATGATAGATATGGTATGTATGTATGTATGATATGGTATGTATGTATGTATGTGTGTATGTGTGTATGTGTGTATGTGTGTATGTGTGTATGTGTGTATGTGTGTATGTGTGTATGTGTGTATGTATGTATGTATGTATGTATGTATAAATGTACATCTATATACATATTTAGGTATCTCTATATATATATGTAAATGTATATATGCATACAGAAATACACAAGTGCACCTATATATACACATGTGTAAATGCAATCAAATTACCGAGCTTTGCAATCCAACAGCAGGTTCCGGGGTTCCAGTGTGGTTCCGTTTGGGTTTTCAGAGCCGGCAAGAAATGGCGCACCACTCCCAAATGCAGAGATTGAAACCCAACAGTCACTGCTGTTGGGAACATAAAATATCGTAAATATATATATATATATACAATTATATATTTTTTTTGGACATTCGGCCTCTGGAGACTGTCGTCGCGGCGCAATCATCTGAATTCTTGATTATATATATACTGTATATATTTATGTATATTTATCGATGTGCGTATATGACCACCTCTAAATATATATATATATATAAATAAATATATCTATAGAGGTAAGGGGAAACCATTCAGAAACCAACCTGTTCACTACACATGCATATCTTTCCCAGCTCAGACACTGCAACACGCTGGCCATGAGTTGCCCACGAGGAGAAAAAACAGCAACACGTTCATTGCCTGTGTCCTGAAAGAATAAGCCAACGAGAAGAACATGGTGATGGTTGGGGTCACAAGGGAGACTAGAGATATATTACAGATGCGTACTCATAGAAAAACATGATGTGACTAAATGTTGTTCATGCGTCTGGATCAAGACATCCAGAGTCAACAAGTATGGGGGATCTCCAAAAACAATGCCAACAAGAAGGGGGAATGGAAAAACAACATTAGACTCAAGAATGTGGGTCTTAGTAAGCTATGAAACAAATAAGGTATACATATATATATACATATAAATATATATATGTATACAAGCATATATGCAAACATGCAAATATGTATGGAAAATAAATACATTCGATTGTATAATTGTATGATTGTATAATTGTATAATTGTATGTATGGATGCATGCATGCATGGATGTATGTATGTATGATTATGTATGTATGTACGTACGTACGTACGTACGTACATATACATGTAATGTAGGTAGGTAGCTAGGTAGCTAGGTAGGTAGGTATGTAGGTATGTAGGTAGGTGTGGAGGTATGCAGGCATGGAGGTATGTAGGTATGTAGGTAGGTATGTAGGTATGTAGGTATGTAGGTATGTAGGTATGTAGGTAGGTAGGTAGGCAGGCAGGCAGGTAGGTAGGTATGGAGGTATGCAGGTATGGAGGTATGTAGGTATACAGGTATGTAGGTATGTAGGTATGTAGGTACGTTGTACGTACGTACACACTGTGGTGCATGAGAAAGGCTTGAAGAAAGTGCATTTATCCAAGTAGACTGATACATCACCAACACAAGAGTCTCACAAAGCCAATTCTGTAGTCAAAAGGCACGCACACCACAAATGCGGAAGACAGAATAGGAAAACATTAGTCTTCGACCGTATTTAATCCCAACACGTTATTGGCTCCAAAGCCGTCGATAAACATTCAAACAGACTGCAAGTTCATACAATTTCAGGACCAGTGCCACTCATTCGGCGGAACATTTGATTTCCTGAAGGATCTCTCAACAGTTCATTTCGCACTTATTCAGTTTGACCCTTATTATCACAGTGACCGTCAAAGTCCCATGCCATAAAAGTACTCTTCATACCAGACTTATACCAGTCCTACTTTGAGGAAAAACATCCATGTATTTGATGATGAACAGGACTATCTTCAAGACCGTATTTTCCATTTACAAATAGCAGTACTCGCACAAATACTTGATTTGACAACCCCATGCATTTCTGCCTATGGCAAGCCCCAAGGCAAGACCTCTCAGTTCCGCCCCGTCCACCCCGTCCATCACCAGGATGTTTCCGCAGCTGTCCACCGCCACGTCATTGGGATACTTCAACTGACCTACCGGTGGCATGCAGTCAACGTGCATTGACCAATGCGACGCATATGTTCATCGGTATCTATGCCCATATGCATGTATATGTATATATATATATCATGTATCTATAAATGTATATGTGTATATATTTCAATGATATTTAACTATTATACAACTATGCACACCTACACAGTAAATGATACATAGGTGAGGCAATGGCGAGGCAGGATATTTTTTGCATATATATATACATAGAATTATATCGAGACTTTCGACCATGTGGAGTAGACAATTCAACAAGACAATGGCGCGTTTGGATGAGCAGGGTTGGATGTATGCATATGAATTTTGATCTGATTGGTGATATGGTTGCTCATTAGACATCCATTTCACAAGATTGGAGATACCACAACCAGTGGTCCCCATACAATATGGTTGGATGAATTGCACTTGTTTCGTGGTGACGAATATCCTTTTGTGCTTGCTACATCACTATTTGTCTCGCCAATATCCACAATCCTAAACTCTTGGAGAACAAAGACCTACGAAAACTCCTTTGGTCCACAGTACAATCTACTTCCAGTATCTGCCTTCCAGAAAATTCAACATGGAAAATCCATGAAAATCCATCATCTGTAGATTATTTCCCAAGGTTTCATCGTGGGTTCGCATATCATTTTTCTAATTTACTGGAAACTTTTAAAACAACAACACATCTATTTCCATATTATGGAGAGTCAAAACCTATAATGCCGTGTTTTGGGGGATGAACATCCATCAATCCCAGCTATTTCGGTGTGAAAACCCACCCAGCAGGGCCGGCTGGACGCCTTGTCCAATGGTGTGCACATCTTCGCCCTCCAAGGTCATGATGCGGACCTGGGGAGAAGGGAATACAATAAGCAGCCATAATTAACCAATAATGGGGATAGATTGAGATTGAGATTGAAATTGAGATTAAGACGAGATAGACAGCTAGCTAGCTAGCTAGATAGGGATTTGAACTATATAATAAATTGGGTCAGCAATATTTCATCATGATAAATGATGGGTTTATCAGCTGAAATGATGGCTTGATCATGAACAAGGTTGGGCAATAAACAGCGGTTTTACCGGTTTTACCAAAGAATAATGGATTTGGCGTTGTCTGAAAATGCCCTTCAACAAAGGGATTTAACGGGATATATATATATACATATAATGGTGATACTTGGCGGGATATAACTATATAACCAACTCTGTAAAAATGAGGTACTAGATCCCAGAATGGGGGAGATGACAAACCATCAAATTTTGGGGTAGCATGTTTTCAAACAACCCCGTATGGTGTGGGCTGTGAATATGCATAAACAACATTCTGTGGTTATGAATATTGATATACATTTCTAACATACACTGTTCGGATACAGATAAAATAATCCAAAAATACAGTCACTATAGGGTCTAAACTATCCCAAAAACAATCAATATAGGGCCTGCACCACATATATATATACATATATCAACCTCGGTTGTTATGGACATTGATTGGTATAAGCTGTCACTGTAGATTAGTCGACAGCATACATCAGCAACGCTAATATTGGATAGTTACGGTGCTTATCGTATGTGCAAGTACACTACTGCTGGATATAGCTTACATGTATACATAAAGAATACATATTATATTGGATATTACATAATGTAGTTTTTTTTTCAATAGGCATACATATAAATAATCTATATTACAATGTAATAAACCAAAAAGCATGCATATTAAGCAACACTCTCCATTTGGTCGAAATTGGGGCACCCAATTGAAGCCCACTGGATAAATCAACTCCATCTGGGGCATGATCAAAATAGACGTCGAACTGTGGGTATATAACGAAATATTACTCTATATACTGTGTAAATATATATATATATACATATAAATAGAAATATATATATATAATATGTATATATATATATATACATTTTACATAATTTCACAATTATTCGCTCCCTTCAATAAACTAACATAGCTATGGAAATCAATGGGCCCCCCTGGGAAATGATCTACTTTCATGGTGGATTTTCCAGCTGGGCCATCATCTCCTCCGGTGATATTTGGAATCTCCAAAAGTGGACATTTTTCATTTACATTTATTTACCAACTCCAAAACTTTGAAATCCTTCCCAGGAGCTACTTGAGTGGTTTGGCAGGAATTCCTTCCCCTTGATCACATCAAAAGCGCTGATTTCCTCTACAATTTCGACCAAAACATTCCATTGATTGGTTTGCCGCGAAATATGCATTTATCGTATATGGCAACGGAGCAAGAATTCGTACCCTGCTGTTTACATCAAAATAGCTGCTGGCTATCCAGGTTCATTACCAAGAATTTAGGACAAAATCATAGGTTTTGAAAGTTTTGACCCATCCCGATATCACCTTAAACAGCCGCCAAACCCAATTCATCGAGTACCCACTACGCCCAATTCATTGAGTACCCATTGTATCCTCATATATCATCATCTTATCAACTATAGACTATAATTCAAATTTTGGATTCCAAATATACGTACATTAATCATCCACATATTCCTGATTATATCTCCATGAATCCAAACTATATCCCTATTAGAGCTCTTGGTTTCAGCTCCATAAAACCCACATCTTGGTTGGTGAAGGCCCTGATAATTGTTCGTTACATCCCCACCAAAATGAGTCCCGATTTTTGTTGGTTATCTTGAGTTACATCAAAACAAGTCCACTCTAAACCAACTTAGACAAGGAACATCCCCAGCTATAGATGGGATACAGTATGGCTATCTTATCATTTCCATTTGCGTTTCCAATTATCTATTAACTATCCATTCATCACCCATTCGATACTACATTGTGGTTAAGTTATCCCGGCAAAAGCCGCAATAAACGCGCATAAAATGATGGATAGCACAGATGATTCCCCATTGTTGGCTACCTTGAGGTACATACAAATCCAGACCAAACGCAGTCATATATGGAATACCCCCAGTTACATATTGCCTATATCCGTAGTACAATTACGGTTACCCATGGTTACCCCCAAAAATTATCCATTGGAGTATCCCCATGTTGTTCAAGTCCTAATTATATCATATGATATCCCCATGAAACTCTCTGTCAACATCCATAACCCATGGATTTTCGTAGGTAACTCAGCCCCCGAAGCGGCCTGTGTGGACTTTTCACGTCCCCCTGCCCCAGGGTCCCACTCCTCGTTGGCGCCACGATCCGACACCAGCAACTGGTCGTTGGCCACACAGAGCCCCGTGGGCTTGGCGAAGCCGCGGAAGGTTTGGACCTGGACACGTCGTGTGTCTATGGACCAATGGATCGATGCCCGCAGCACGTGCGCTACGCCCAAGAGGTATTCCACTATAAACATTCTCACAGTTTTTTTAAAGGTTTTTTCAGAGTTTATGTAAAGTTTGTTTAGGGTTCATTTAGGGTTTCTTTAGGTTTCGTTTAGGGTTCACTTGGGTTCATTTATTTTTTTTCGGAACAACATCCAGTTTTTTGAATGGTTTATGTAAAAAGTGACGAAACACAGTTTTGGCTGACAGCAGATTCACCGCAGAGGGTCATCAACGACGTCTCTGGGTTCGCAAACCCAAAGCCATCTAGATATTAGATCACCAAATACTAGAAAGCCACAAAGTACTAGAATCACCAAAAATGAGGGTCCCAACAATTATCCCGAAAGACTTTGGGGCATAGCACAAGTGCTGGCTGTATAGATTCTGTACAGTATATGAGTATCTATATGTGATATGGTACTGGCACACACACATATACGTATATATATATGATATGATATTTAGACTGTGTAAATCGAATGTCTAAAAAAGGTTTGCCAATATCAAATGCATCGAGAACACATACAATGTATGTATATATACATATATACATATATTATAAAATGGAAAATCCTTTACATGGTATACCATATAAACCATCAATGCATAAAACAGGTATGTATACATACACACATCATACACACGGGTTGATGGGAAATGGTTGTTGGTCAATGTATAGAGACTCGACCAGAGATGTGTTCGCTACCAATCAAGCATCGGCCACTTTGGGACTGTCAATGCTTTGCCAATGGGGCAACTTCTGCCTTTCTAAGTCTTGTCATACAGGCTTATATATACACGGTTATACCTTGTTATACTACATTATTCTCATCTAATCACTTGCCAATCTCAGTCGGATCATCTGTTAGTTGGGTCTGGTTGGAACTCGGACAAGAACGCAAACAGGAGAAACGTTCGTTTGACATCGTTTGACCTCTGGAAAATGGTCCATTTATAGATGATTTACCCATTAAAAATTGTGATTTTCCATAGTTATGTTAGTTTACCAGAGGGTAAAAACATGTTTCATCAGCCGCTTGATGATCACTCCGAGGAACGACTTCGCCGGTCTCAAAGTCCAACGCAACTGGCGGCGACCACCGTGTGGACTGATGCGGTAGCAGTATCCAATGTTACCCTCCAATAATCCCGGGTTTTATCCCCAAATACTGGGCCTTCCTGCAGATTTTCTGTTCAATCAGGGAAAAACACATGTTCAAAACTATGGTTTTCCTTCAGTAAATTCAGAAGAGACCATGAAAAACAAATCTATATCTATATATATATACTTTCATGGTGGGCTTTTACATCCAGATTTGTTTATTTACTGGAGGGATCTGGAGGGCAATATACATTGTCTACATGGAACCATTTGCGACAGAAAGGTAGACTGGCAGGCAAGCAAGTACAAGTAAATCAGCAGATCGATAAAGTAGATCTGGGATGATATAGGTTTGTCTGAAAAGTGTGTTTTCACCAGGTCACCTGCAATGGCTGATGATCATTTTCCCTATGGCAATTTTGGGAGCCGCCCCCCAATTTTGGACAAAACCATAAGTGATATGAGATCTCCAGCCTACGCAGCCACGCTTCTCTCCATCAGACAAACGTCCTCCATAGGAGAGGTACACAATACCTTCCAGCTGGACCATGACTGGGCCACTGACAAATAGGAGAATACTAAATCAGAGGATTCTAAACGAATTATAAGTGCAACATAACATAGAAAAATATATGGACAAACATGACTGTTCTACACCAATACCATAGATAGAAAAAATGGGAAGAAATTACAACATATTACAACCATACAAGAAGTACCGTGCTGAAGTTGGGAAGTGACAAGCTTGCAACCGCTCGCGTTTGACTAGCCAAGTGGCCCAGTTGTACTGGAAGATATTGGGAACCTCCAAACTCCAAAATAATTATACAATAAAATATTATAGAGCAGGATGCAGAACTTTGAACAAACCAATGCAACCCTGGTTGAATAGGAACACATCGGGCAATCCTATGGGGATCATCAATCTTCATCCCGAAGACCTTAACTGGGGTCCAGACAATCGACACACAGCAAGGGACTTGGACTTAGTGGACTGGTTGGAACTGAAGGAGGGCATCGCTTTGAAACCAGCAATCTTGCCTCTAAAGCAAGACATTTTAAATTTTAAATAGCTGAAATGCATTCAGTTTACAGTGCGGTGTCCAACCATGTTGAAATTTTGACTGGAGTGCCAATTTACACAGCTGCTTCTAGCATTCTTGGTGCCCTGGCCTTTTCAATGTGGAGATTATCCGGGTGGTTGCCTCACAATGCTGCGGCCCAGGTACGCACCCCCAGCTGGGCGTTGCCGCTGCGTTTCTTGTGAATTCAAAGCTTTTCGACATTTGAGCTTGACATGTCGATCATTGATGCTTTTCCATGCTTGTTTCCTGAGTGATGATCAGAATTCCGGCTCCAATTGGAGCTTTGCATTTTGGGAGCAGAGTTTGGATTTTCTGTAGTTGAACGAAGACGAAGAGATTTGAAAGGGCGCAGTTTATGACTAATTCAGTTTCAAAACTCAATCATGTTCTGGCCACATGGCCTTTCTTTCCAGGGACGAATGAAGCCTTCATTTTTCCAAGGCTGATAGCCTAGGTGCATTTTGTATTCATGTTGCTGTGTGCAGCCTCGAGATGGTTTAGGCCGGCGCTCAAGGGCCTTTTTCGGCCCGCACAAACGTTTGGGCTGTTTCGAGTCTTGAAAAAGAGCCATGCGCGTTGCAGTGCTCGTTCTTCTGGTGATTGTGTGGCAGCATGACCGATGTTAGGACAACCCCACATGACGGTGCTGCCAGTTGCCAACCTTCGGTCGAAGGAACTTCAGTCAAGTTCATTCCGCCTACCATTTCGCGTGATTGGTCTTGCTCTTGGCAAGGCTCTCAGGTCTTCGTTTTGGTGGTGAACATCTTCTATCCGTTTATTGTTTGTGCAATCCCTTCCATACACTCCCAGCAGCAATTGACGCAGTGCACTGAGACGTGGTGTCTTGATTTGTTGAATTTAGTTTTGCTTGGCAGTTCTTCTCTCCGCCCGGGGCTATATTTGGCTTCGTTCCCATTGCTGGACACCACAGGCTAAGCGGGTCCTCACCCTGCTGGAGCCTGATATACGGACTTGCCTCGAAAATGGGCCCAAGCGACAGAGAGCTCCGTGGCAAAAGATCTTCGCCTTGCAGGCCCTATTAGTACGGAGTTCTCCTGACACCTGTTGCGTTTATCAATGGTAGTCAGAAAGCTGGAGATACACTGGGTTTGGCCAGTCCATGCGAAAATCCCTTGCAGAGCATGGGGGTCTTTCCCGCCGTCTTTTGGAGCACCTATACTGCACTTTCAAGTCGCCTAAGGGCGAAGGGGCACAAGTTGAGATATCGGCTTGCTCGCTGTACTCAACCTGACAAAATGATGTTCCTCATATACCTGTTTCCAAGCCTCGCAGCAATGGGCTGCCAACCTCTTCTCTTAGATGCCGTGGCTCTGCCAGAAGACGGCCGCCGAAAGACATTCGGATTGCCACACCTGCCAATTTGCCAGAAGCTGGTCAAGAATTGGGCCACCGCGTCTTTGTCAATGCTTGCAAGAAAATGGCTGCTAGAATGGTTCATTCAGCGTCGCCGGAATCTGAAGGCTTGAGCCCTTGGAGTATGCAGTTTGACAAGTACTAAGTACTATGTTTTCCTGCAGAAGAAGACCCTTGCCGCAGAAGAATTGCAGGGGCCGCAGTGGATTTTTGATCCCCTTCCCTTATTTGTTTTTGCTGTACTTGAGAAAAAAGCAATGTTTTTTTCGTGGAAATCAGCAGAGCAGTTCGACCATCTTGCCCCTGTGCGCCATGCCTTGCTGGTGCAAAATTTCAAATCGGCTGGAATATCCTTGGCAGGTGGCTGCAAGCGCGAGGTTTCCCGTCTTTCCAGCACTTTGTAATTCGACTGCCGAGCTTGGCTTTGTGCCGTTATGCCCTGCGGTGCTTCGCGCTGATGGTCGACTCCACAAACACCTCTCTGCCAGAAAAGATTTGGGCAAAATCGCGAATCAGGGCGCGTCTTTGCAAAGCGACATATTTTGCTGATAACTGGTCCCACGTTTCTTGGCGAAGAATGCTCCTTTTTGTGCAGAAGAGACGGCGCCATCGTGCTGTGATGGGCCGATGTATTTGGTCAGGCAAAGCTTTCATGTACACAGGACGCTCATCGCCATCGGCAGAACTTAAGGAATGCCAAGAATCAGCAGCCAATGCTTTCCACTTTATTTTTGGCAATCCTCCATGGCAAGTTTCTCAGGCTCCAATTTCTGCAGAATTGAAGAGGCGATATGAGGCGATGGAATGCGCAAAATGTTTCTCAGACATCTTATGACAAGTATGTCGCAGGTCTTGTGTCGGACGAGGTGGCATTTGTTCCTGATGATAAAAACAAAAAGTGGGCAAGGGCAAAAAAAACCCTGCCACATACCAACTGCTGCTATGTACTTTTGCTTTTCTGTCTTCTTCATGGGTTCTGACCTTGCTCACGCCGGACATTGCAAACACCTGGCTGGTTTCTATGCTGTGCCGAGTTTTTGGTAATGAACTTTCTCATAGACTTGGGGTTGATCGCGGCGATTTCTTGCTTCGATATCGCTGCGTTTCTTGTGAATTCAAAGCTTGGCTGCAAGAAGATCCAAACTTGCTTTTCGACATTTGAGTTTGACATGTTGATCATTGATGCTTTTCCATGCTTGTTTCCTGAGTGATGATCAGAATTCCGGCTCCAATTGGAGCTTTGCATTTTGGGAGCAGAGATTGGATTTTCTGTAGTTGAACGAAGACGAAGAGATTTGAAAGGGCGCAGTCTATGATTAATTCAGTTTCAAAATTCAATCATGTTCTGGCCACATGGCCTTTCTTTCCAGGGACGAATGAAGCCTTCATTTTTCCAAGGCTGATAGCCTAGGTGCATTTTGTATTTATGTTGCTGTGTGCAGCCCCGAGATGGTTTAGGCCGGCGCTCAAGGGCCTTTTTCGGCCCGCACAAACGTTTGGGCTGTTTCGAGTCTTGAAAAAGAGCCATGCGCGTTGCAGTGCTGGTTCTTTCATTGTGGTGGTCAAAACGAGATCAAAAACGATGTGATACCATCTAGCGCATGACTTACGAACAAGCTGCGCAAGTGTGGGATGAAACCTGGTGTAGTCCCCCATTTGGATGGTATCATAGCTACCCCATCCCATAAGGTTCCAGAACATGGGGGCGCCTGTTTGATGAGCCACCCTTGGGTAATCAAAGATTGATGGCTGGGAAATCCCCCTATTTATATGGGAAAATCATCGAAATAAATGGGACAATTTCCATTGGCATGAGCGACTAGAATGCCAATTCCCATGTATAGTCCCCGTTGCAACAATATCGTGTCTTTGGTCATTGGCCTGTGCAACCAGGGTGTTTCTTGTGAGTGGAATTTGGCTATGTATTCATGTACCAGTGTATGATAATTATGTATGTCTATAATTATATATATTATGCGTATGTGCACATACAAGTGTTGGCCAAAATGTAAAATTACATGCGTACATACCATCGTTTGAGTTGATCATGGATGAAAGACCAACGATACATACCCCGTATCCGCCGACCCCTGCGTAGCCTTGGCCTAGGCGGGGCGGCGCCTGGGATCACCGTAGGTGTGCGACATTGGCTGTGGCCTCACCTGTGAGAGCTTTCCAAGCTTCGCCCTGCCCGCGGTACGCCGCCAAAACATGCGTGAGCGGCGACTTAAGCCGTGCAAACTGCTTCTATTTCGGCTTTCCAAGCTGTTGCGTGGCTGCCCTGGCCGCGGTATGCTGCACCAGCCCGAGCGGCGACGTAGGCCCTGCAAACTGCTTCTATATAAGGCTTTTGAAACTGCTGCGTGGCACGTTTTGGCCACGCCTTAAAAGCCTTAAAACTCTTCAAACCATCAAAACGTTTAAAGCCCTAAAACCCTCCGCCGCACCTTCCTGCAAACTCCTTCCATGACCTTTCGAAACTGCTGCGCAGGCTGGCTCCCGAGCTGGCTCCCGAGCAGTGACCTAGGCCCTGCAAACTGCTTCTTTATGAGCCACGGTCGAAATTTATTGTTTACGTCAAATGTGTCGTCAAGTTAGTGAGTCCCCTATCGTTTTACCGGGCTTCCTGTTTTTACATGTTTTGACACATTTTTACATTTGTTTAAGCATAGTTTTGAAGCACGTCCACTTGGATCCTCATCCCTGGCGATCTTTGTTTGCATGCGTTGGAGCACATTTGTGCTTTTTCCCATGCCTCTCTCTCATGTGGTCCTCCTTCCCGCTGCTTGGGCGGTCTCTCCAACCACCAGGTCTTTTGGAAAGAAAATGGGTTTTGGCATGCTTTACACTCACATCGGACAGGTGTGTTGCATGAACCTGCACAACCCGCGCACAGCAATTCCCCTGCCCTGTGACAAAAAGAAGGGGGTCGGCGGCACCAGGGCGTTGGCCCATGAATAAATATATGTACATATATAAATACATGCATACCCATTGATGGGTTACACTTAGGTTTGTCCAAAAGTAAGGTATATACTATGTACCCCAGTGTGGGTACTGGTTCATCATTTTTTCCGTCAACATGTTCAATTTCATGGATATATACCTGGATAAACATTCCAAGAATCGTAAGTGGCCAATAATCGCCTTACAATCCAATTCTGTACGGAATATCCTCAGTTCTTCATCACATCCTGATGTCAACCCAGTTGGTCAATTGGGGGGTTAACCCCCAAAATAGTGGTAAAAAAGTATGATTAAACTGGGTACGCCCTATTGTTCGGAGAAGAACAACAGACAAGAAGAGAAGCAAAACAGCAGTTAGAAGCAGCGATGCAGAAAGGCAAAGAAGCAGAAAAGCAGAGAAGCAATTCTCTCTGCATCTCTTAATGCTCAACATATTATAGATTTGAAGAAATACCGCTAATATCCCATCAACTTCACCATTTTTCAAGGATAAATTCATGAAATCCCAGTAGTCTCCCCAGTAAATCCCATTCATATCCCATTCAATGCCCACTATTGAAGATTAGACCCATGTATTCCCCATTATAGTAACCACCAGACAGATAGAACCGCGTTTCCAGAATGGTAGTTCCACACTATTTTCCAAGTTTCTATTTTCCCTATCTTTTTGAGGCTTATCATAACATAATGTAATATATAACTCCCCATTCATATATCTTTCGTTCTTGGTTAAAACCACCATTTTTCTTGGTCAAACCGGGCCTCCTCTCAAGGCCAAGCCCAGGCCGCGACCTCCTTCAGCCTTGGAAGGTTTTTTGGTCAAAAACAGTCTGATTTTACCAAGAAACATGGTGGTTGAATGGTGATTCTATGGTGATTTTTCATGGTGATATGAATGGGGATTGTCGATATTTTGATGGGGTTTGATGGGACTCTGGTTATTTAACACTTTTCTATGGTTAACCCATAGCCCATTCAGTTTGATGATTTATGACAAATGGGGATTTTCCATTGCAACCTGTTTAATTAGCAGAGGCTATTTGGTTATACTAGTGGTGAATAAGTGGGTTATGTAAGTGGCTTATAAGATAGGAATATCCCCATAGTTGGGCTGTATCTGGGTCAATAAGTGGTTTATAACTTGTAACATCTCATAACCCAATAACTGGGCATGTTCCACATATTACTGAGGTATACTGGGGGATCATATGCTTATTACCCACAAAAACGACTCTTGGGATCTCCAATAAGTATCGGCACATGATGGACCGCTGGCTTGATCGATTGGTTTTCTTGGGAACATCTTAGCCGGAAACCATGAGGCACACCCCATCAAATATGGGGGTTTCCTGTAAAAAATCCCTTGCGCCAATCCTGTGAATCTAGGGACTTATTGTTTGTTTGTCTTTAAAAAATCATAGATAACTTGGGAAATCCCATCTATCGTTAGGATCGTTAGGATCGTTCTATGCCTTTGAATTTTCAATACCATGGGCACATTTTACTATGAACAATGAATATGGTAAGGATCATTTTTGTCCCCGATCCACATCTAATTCAACTTTATATTTTGGGTTGGTAAATCATTTTGGTGATTGTGCTGAATATAATATACATACATAATATATATATATATACAAACATACATGTATTATATACCATGACGTACCCATGTATATCCGAATATATCCCAACAAACACCCTCATTTATTAGAATCTCACGTGGGCGTTTCTCGTTCTTGGGGTATCTCAAACCATTGGTTTCCGATTAAGCATGACCAATCATTTGGACAATAACTTGAGGTCCTGCTTCCTTCGTGGGTTTGTCTGAAACATCCTACTAATCGAACTTGGCTACAATATGGTTTCAACTTACTTAAGAGCTGGGATGCACCTCGAAGTGCTCCCTAGTTCATCTGTTTTATTACCCATCGAAGTATAGTTCCAACAAACATCTCCAGAGTTCACCTGGTTCCACCTGCGAAGGGCACCCGGTTTACCGTTTGCCAGGCGCTCCGAACGCCGACCACCCCAGGTGCGTTGAGAAATCGCTTCACCTCCATGGTTTTGGGATCCACCACTGCAGCAGTGGCTCCACCAGTCCTGGCAGATTGAGATCTAGAATTTGCTATATAAATATATATACACCATGTAACGATAAATAACGATCATACATATTTATACATAATAACAATCACAATATAGCTATATGTAATTCTGATATATAGTCATGATGCCAGTAGTAACGGTCAAAATAGTAAGAGTTTTAGTGCTCACAGATTGCAGTGTGATCATGGAAAGAGGAGTCAGCTGGATAAATCTGGCTTGGTTCTGGAAAAAGCCAAACTTTGGCCACCTAAATCTATCTATCTATCTATCTATCTATATATACAATTATATACACAATTATACACATATATACACCATTTTCTGAGCTAATGGAAAGACTTGAAGAACCATGGGAACTGACCGATCCAACCCCAGCTACGTGTATTTTGCTCCCATCTGGCACAGATCATCGTGACAGGACCCCACCAAGCACCTGCTACATGCAAAGACAAGGTCGCCGTTGGGTGCCATTTGCATCTGGCTGGGATTCACCACCTTGGACGATGGATTGCTATCCAGTGGCTAGCGGATGGAAGCCCTTGCAGATTCATATTTTTTTAGCTGCCAACACTAGGCAGGCGCCTATGGAAGTTCATCCTCCTCCTCTAATATGATCAAACTTCAGACAGCTAAATCGCTGACATCGCTGCACAACTTGATTGCTTATGATATTTTTGATCATATTAGATCAGCTTGGATGGGACTGAGACTCGTTTTCTCCAGGTTCCTTTAAGAAGCACATCAGAAACGCTCCCCAAAATCGAGGCCCACCAATAGACTGGCAATGATCACAGCTCTCTGACAGCCCTGATTGGCAGCTCTGCAACCAACCCCACCAACCATGCGACACCCAAAGATTTTTCTTACCCCACCAGCCACTTGTTTGGTTATCCAGCCACAATACTACATCTGGTGTTATGTAGGTCAATTCACTCTGGGCAAATTACAAGAATTAGCAATACCTGAAACCAGGGATAGCAACTGCAAAAAATAGACAAGTTACCATTCCCCCAACTGACATAGACCTTGCCAAATAGGGGGTTCGAAAACTGCTTTTGCCCAAACAGGATGCTTCTCAGGGTCAAGCTGCTTGTTGGGGGCTGGCAAGACCCATACTGTCCCATATCCCATGACATCCCCTACCATAAAATCATCATTCAATCACTATAATCCGAAAAAACAAACCACAAAGTCCCATTCAATCATGAAACCATCGTTCTTTTGGGGCGACACAAGCAAAAACAAGAATAATCATTGCCAATAGATGATTGAACCCCTACCTATAGAATCATTGGTGAGTTTTTTCAACCACCATTTTTCGTGACAAAATCCGAGCGGCCTCTCGTGGCAAGATTTGTTTCGAGACCAACACCAGCTCTGGGCTAAACCTGAGTCGGTGCCTGACGATGCTCATTTGTTATAGTGTTTGCAGATGTTTGCGGTGGAAAATCACCATTAAATGTTAGTAAAGCAATAAGAAACCGCCCATATTTTGGTGGTTTGTAGCATCATTGTAAAATTGGGGGTGGTTCACTATTGGAAAAACACCATGAGAAAAAGAGATAAAATATATACACATATCATATCATCGATCTGAATGGGCCATGGCTTCTGCAGCAAGCTCTTAAAAAACCGAAGGGTATACAGAAAAACCATGTGAGCAAGTGCTCAGTAACAATGCAATACAAAAAAGGCAGAGCAAGTCAAACTACTTCTCGTTTTGATGATGTGGATGTTGCTGGATGGTTGGAGATCCCGAAAAAAACGCTTGTATTTGCTTCAGATTGACACTACATTGCATACAGTGTGGTTTCCACCAACCTCTGTCCTCTCTGCACCTACAACCACCAGCATGGCCCGGAAACACCATAAGCTCGCCCTGGAAGTGGCAGACATGGAGAAGGCCTGCCGTTTAAGCAGTACCCTCCAGAACGTTCACATAGATCCAACCAGGGGCTTGGAAGATTGGTTTTCACTAAAAACAGGTCATTTTCAGGGTTTATGCTAATTTACCAGAGGGTAACTTTCATTGGATTTTAAGGGTTATTCATGTTTGATAATTCTAGACTCATGATAATTAATGGTGATTATTATACAATGGTGAGCAATGATGAATGTAGATCTTAGCAATGAAAAATACTAATCATGTGGGAGATGGATGGCAATTAGTAATTAATGGTAATATTTTCTCATATACCATCTATATTCACTAATGTTTGTAAAGCAATGTCATAAACCACCCATATGGATTGATGTTTTTATCACTTCATGATAAAGTTGGGGATGGTGGATCCTATTGCTTTACCAACTTTAATGTAGAACATGGGGATGTGATCAACCAAAATTGGAGGATCAGGGAAGAGAACCATCAAAATGGAGAATAAACGTGCCTGAGTTCATGATACTTCGTGAAAATTCCACGGCCGACACATGGCAGAAAGTCTTGGCAGTTCTTGACCGTCCAAAGGCAGCAGGACAACGATATAAGAAGGTGTAAAAATTCGTAAATACCAGCCAAATGTGATCAGAGGACTCACAATCCTTAAGGTACCATGGAAGAAACACTGCAGTCTTAGCAATACTGGGATTATAGCCTGGGATGAACAATATCAGTAGTGTTAAACTGAAGATACCAAGGAAATCACTTTTTATTCATTTGAGCCTTTAACAAATACCCCTGACCCCTCTCAGTCTACTAGTTGGTGGGTCCTATGGGGTATCATCATCCCAATATTCATGAGGTAGCAAAAGATGTAAAAGTCCCAACAAAAAAACCCACCAAGTGCCATGAACTGCTCGCCGATGTAAAAGTCCGCCTTCCTGCGTGGTTAGAACTCCTTGTGGCCACCTCCTGAGATCTCGATTCAGATTCAGATGGCGGATAGCCATAGTAACTGATACCTGTAAGCGTATATCATACACCATTAAGCCATGCTAGTAACTAGTAGTAACTAGTAGTAACCATCGTTTTTTGAAAGCAAAAAATGAAGCCATAGCCTCGATTTGGGTCCGGATGACACACCATCACACATTCCTTCAGCGTGCCAGAGTGGAGTGGTGCCATCAAGGTACTCAGATAACACCTCATGTTCAAACTTGGTGATTCGACCTCGATCGCAAGCAATCGACTTAGCGGACTTAGCGGACTCGGCCAATCAAAACCGAACCATTAGGGGATGTTTATTTTTTAAACCAACCCTTTTAGATGTTTTTTTACCAACCCTTTTATTGCAATATTGGGTATGGTTCATGATTGGGTAAACCCATGGTTTAGAGTGGTGCAATCCTGGACGAGAAGCCGTGGATTTGGGCAACAAACATAACACTACCAACCAAATGATGTCAATATTGGCCAAACATGGCCAAACATGGCCAAACATTGTATTGTATATCTAACAGTATCTAACCAAATATACAATTCGCCCCCAAATACAACACAGATTGTTTCAGAACGATTGAGCAACAACACGCCCTGGATGTGCTGGCCCAGTGGCTGTAGTCATAACCACGCTTTTTCACCACCTTGGCACAGCTGCTGGGAGAGTCTTGGCTACATCTCCAACGTGAGTTGGTTAAATCCATCAGCTGGTAATATCCCCACTTCGTTGCTTGATTCATTGACCACAGGTCCACCCCATTGACTCAGGGGTCCGCATGTCCCAGCTTGCTTCAATCCTCGAAATCCCTATTTAGATTTATTTAGGACGACTAAAACTTCCATTTATGGCGGATCTTTCCAAACTTCCTATGGTTTTCCTAAGGTTTTCCTCTGATTTTCTCATGGAAAAACATCACTTTTTCTTGGGAATTTCCTTTTGTCCAGGCGCCATGAGTGGACAGGATCCGTCCACGCCAAGCTCCATCAATGTCATCTCCGGATTCTGCTGCAGCGGAACTCCATCCAGCAGAAACCTCGCCAGCCCACTGTTTGTGTGGTTGACATGGTTATGCAAAGTGAACAAACACATATACTATGAAAAAGGATAGCAAATATACAACTCTCTCTCTCTCTCTGTATATATATACATATGTGTACACACATACATACATACATTACATTACATTACATTGCATTGCACTACACTACACTACACTACACTACATTACATTACATTACATATATATATATATACTCATACTACACATGTATGATAGATAGTACTATGGAATGACATGTTTTATCGTCCAAGTTAGAAATGGCTACAGTCTCACCCAGTTGCTACCCACAGAGCTTCCCTTACAAGACATCCCAGGAAGGCTGGTTACCAGTCCAGAAGACTTTCACATCAGCGGATTCTACCAATGTTTTCCCATGTTTTCCCATCTACTCGGGAGAAATAAATCAATATACACCACTGTAAAATAGATGAGAGGTTCAAACCATCAATTTTTTCGAAGTGGCCAGCAGCCAAACCTCTTGGGATTGTCAGTAGAACAGCCAGGCAATTTTCGGAGTCACCGGTCACAAGACACCAAATACAAGTGGGAGATATGGAACTGCCATGTTTATCATGCTTGTTTGCCAGAGGACGCAACTACTTCAATCCCACTTGCTGATGACTAAATCTGCATTCGTGCTGATAAACAAATTGGTGTAAGAACCATTTTTTGGGTGTTTAAAGATTGTTGGAAAGAACATTGTATGTTTTTTGGCTGGGACTCCCCATTGGTTTGTTTGATTTGGAAACCCATTGTATTTGCATGGCAACATCAATTTTCTGTCATTGCTTAAAGTGTGAGTTTTTTCCATGGGTTTTCCAGGTTTTTTCCACGCGAAAAAAAATCTGCCATCGGCCGAAGCCGCTCCACTTGCAGGCGCTCGTCCAGGATGCCATGCTCCGCCAAGAGGGTCTTGAAGTCGTACAGCTTCAGGTCCTACCCGGCAGAAAAAATGGGGAGAAGTACCGTGTAAAATCGCTGATTCAATGGGATTTCCATTGGTTTTTATGGGATTATATGGTGATTTGATGGTGATTGAACGGCATTTTATGGCGATTTAGTGGGATTTTATTGATGATTGGGCGGGATTTCATGGCAAATTTATGGTGGTCAATAGGGATTTAGCCAACAAAGATGGAGATATTGATGGGAATGACTTTTTGGTAATTTAACAGTAACAGTTTGCTATTGAAAATTGCCGTTTAGTTCGTTGATTTACCTTTTACTTTAATGGTCATTTTCCATAGCTATGTTGGCTTACCAGTAATGGAGAGAATTGATGGCTATATCACCCTTGTAAATTACCCCTTAACATCAACTCATTGGTATCTCTGTATCACCATTGAGTTCCAACCCCCTAATGAACGGGACATTTATGGGAAACCATGGCTAAGTAGGGAAGTTCCGCACATTTGGGACCATACAATGGGGGTGTTTGATATGAAGGGGGATGGGATATTCATGGAATACTGATATGATGGGGATATAAACCACTATATCTAATCAACTACAATCAGCTATAACCAACTAAAAACAATAAAAATCAACCATAATCAAATACAATCAATTTTAATTAAGTATAATCAACGGTAGCCAATGGTCATCAACTGTAATCAACTATAAGCAGCTTGCAATGGGAATATAACCAATCAACTATAATGGGGATGTAGTGAAATATAACTAACCAACTACAATCAACTATATCCAATTTTGGGATATTTTGGGGAGAATATGGGATATCCTCCAGGTTTAACCATGAAACAGGGAGATAGAATCATCGAAGATAAGAATTCGCTCAGCTAATATTGGATATGGGTGAATACTGGGGGAGGATGGGGTTTAATGGCTTGTTTTTCACCATAATCAACCAACAAAAACGGGGTGTAATGGGATTGAATCATCTGGATTCATGGGATGTAATGGGATATACTTATATAATATGTATATATATATACAGTAACAAACAATATGATATTTGAGTGTGATCCCAAATGGCCATCGAACAATAAGAACAAATGATAGACAGACCCATATGGGAATCTACTGCACGAATCATCCCAGGAATCGCAGCTGGCAAGAGGGGTGAGTAACGCCTAGGTATAAATAGGATGCGGTTCTGACAAATGTGATTATTAAGATTGTCACTACTATTGTGATGAGGGGAATCTAAGATGAAGTGCTGCATGAATATGGCTCAAGTATTTGATATAACTATATATTTAAAACATTTTATAACTAATAAAACCCAAAAAATAGATAGTGACATGCACGGGAGCCCAGCGCTTGGATCCTACCGGGTCAGCCATTGATGTTGGGGCAACATTATGTGTGTACATATGTATACCGGTGTATATACCAGCTGGTTATTTAACATAGCCATGGAAAATCACCATTTTTAATAGGTACACCATCTATAAATGATTGTATATGTGTATGAATGTGTATATTACATATGAATCATTATCCCGACCAAACGCAGAAATGCCCCACATTGTTCCAGTCGATGTTTCTAATGAAAGTATGAGGTTCAACCACTAGGAACATAAATGGCATTGGACTTGACGGCCACCAATGATGAGCCTCTACTACTTGCACTGCTTAAACATGGGGTTGTGAGACCAATCAACTCCTACTTGGCAGTCATGAGATGTTATGGGTCGTTGTAGCCCCATTTCTATCTTGGGCTGTCTCACAAAATTGGGCCCCCAAATTTCACGGGTTTACCATCACGTTACGAATAACTAATTGCCATTCTAGGATTTTCCCCATGGCAAACCCATGTTTCAACATGTTTCAACTTCATTCCTGGAGCGCCCATTGGCACACCCGGCACCTGCGGAACAGTCAGAAGCGTTTCATCACCAGAAAGTCTCATTATGTTGAGCTCCATTGGAGCACCTGACCGCTGATGATGACGGTGATGATCACCACCATCATCATCATCATGATCATGATCATGATCATGATCATCATCATCACCATCATCATCATCATCATCACAATGATGGTGCTGCCGCTGCTGCTGGTGGTCGTGGTATGGGTTGACGAGGAACCCAGGCTTGTCGGTGAGGCGGAATCCACACATTCTTCTGTAACAGATCCACCTGGCCACTGTTGAGCGGAATCTCTGATCCATTGTGTACTCGGTTGGTTCATAAGGAATTTCCCAGGTCATGGAGTAATGGATTGTGATAATCCCCAATATCTTGGGTAGTATAACCCCCGAACTAATCATCAACCAGCAGGGGCTTAGCGGCCACTGCTCTACTAGCCTTGGAGTCTGGCTTCAAACAAGAAATCTGTGAGGTCCACCACGTGCCTGTCTTTTCTGGTGCAGCCATGGCACTCAGGGGTGGATGAACGGGAAGACTTGCCCCACGGAAATTTCGCATGGTTGATCCCAAAAATGGTGAATTTACCCCCCAATGCATGGCCATCGTAGGATAGAAACTGATGACTAACCCGTGGATCTTGGGGTACAAACCCACATGGACTCTGACATTTCATGTTTGTTGAAGGGCTTTGGAGATTCATTGGTGATTCTGCAGCAGCGTTTCACATTGTGAAACCAAGTGATGGGAGGATGGTTGTGGTGGGGCACAAAGCGCATTGAACTTGCAGCGGCTGCGAATCCAAAGACATAGCGCAAAAAACGGTTATAACACGGTCATTTTCGGCAGTTTTCAGGAACCATGTATATAAATGATCATAATCAAAATTGTATATGTGATTTTTCTGTATATATGGTTGCATATTAGTATTCCTGTCTACAAACATATTTCTAGGATGTTTTCCTGAGTTAGATGATGGGTATACTGTATGTGTATGTACATATAAATAAAGTATATATATATATATATACATACATATTCCCAACAGCGAATCTGTTGGGTTTCAATCTCTGGGGTCGGGGACTGGTGACGCGAAAATGCACGCCACAAAAAACCGGAACAGTCTTGGAACATATAAAGTAGGTGTGTGTATATATATATATGAATACAAATGTTACGATATACTACTAGGATTATGTGCCATGTCTTCCCAGCCTTCTCCTTGATGTCAAGGTTCCTCTGCCGTACGGCTTCCTGCTACCAACCAAAAAGTGATTTGGATGTGTCTGAAAATGGGGGCATACCCACATGAAATGGTAATTTAATCCGGACTGCTATGAGAAAGCACCGGCATTTTGAGTTACCCTGTGTTCAAACAAAAACATTTAAGTCCTAAAAACTGTAATTCAAAAAGAAAAAGCGAAGCGATCACCCACCAAACATGGAGGGATTGACCGGGCAAAATAAGGGGGGCTTCAGCCAGAAAAGATAAGGACGCTATCTCATCATGTATGGCTGATACTTAAAAACTACAAGTCAAAAGTAATCTAGCCTCCCGAACTCAAACATGCAAAGAACATATTGACGAGTAAAGAAGAAAGACAGCTTGAAACGCAATGTGTTTTTCAGTTCGAAACGCGTTCCAAAACATATCCAATGGCAAGGTTCTTCTATCATTTAGATTCCTGGCATGGCAATCCCCATTCGCCAAGTGTGGCCAATGATAGCCCCGTTCGTGGTGGGTAAAGTGATGATTCCCGGACAGTTATTAATAGGAGGGGCTGTAAATGCACCATGCTTAACCTGGGTAGATATTCAAGGTCAATATATATATATATATATATACACATATGTGTGTGTGTGTATGCGCCTAGCCTACCATTCTACAAAGTTAAGGTTTTCCGTTTATCATTTTTTGATATCTGCCACTCCAATGGGACAACCCAAGTACATTTCGGCCCATCATGGTGCCCCCTTTGCCAGCAAAATGAGGGCTGCTCCCTGGCCACCACAAGCATTTACAGGCTGGGAGAAAACCTGCCAAGTTTGGAAGTTTGGAAGGATACGAGATGATACCAGTATCCTGGTCATCTCTTGTTTCCAAATAAACCAAAGCTATGGATATTTCACTGGCAACGTGCGTTTGTCTGAAAATCCGAAAGAAATCATGATGATTAATCATAATTTTCCCTATTCTTTGATAGCTAGGTTTGTTTTTTTTTCACCACCATTTTCAGGCACACCCAGCAATGAACAGCCAGGTGGACCCAGCCATCCCAGCCAGCCTTGTCCGCAGCCAGTTTCAACTCCTGGAAACTACATTCATCGGCGTCACATGTAGTGATGTGGTCAACACAACAATCAAGCTACCATTTGGGGATATTTGGGAATGTTTTTTACAAGCCATTGATGGTGATACTAAGAGTAGCCTATTGTTGGGTTTACCACTTCGTTGTCATGAACAGAAGTGTTTTAAAGCAACATCCATTTTGATCCACCCATGAATGATTTTTTTACTCTGAGCCACTATAGAAACACAATCTGCAAATAATCATTATTGTTGCTGCACATGGTCACCTGCATAAGTCTTACGAACGATATCAATCTTCAGAAAGCAGTATAGAAAGATTGAAAATGATAGTACGGTGCAAACTCTAAAGTACGATATGAATGAATCTGCACCTCAATATGTATCAAGCTGATGACACGAGGCCTCTGCTAGAGTCTTGGGCAGCCTGTGGGCATTCTGTTATCTTGCCAGGTGTGTGGATGCACTGCCTGTAGATTGGTTCGGCCAGTAGAGTACTCCCAACGCATGTTTGATTGTCATTATTCGAAAAAACAATCCGAAAACATGCCTTAAATATGTTAAATTGTTAAATATCCTTTAAGTTGGGAAATTTCCTCCCACATTTTTCTCATGGTGCCTCCGTTAAGCGTGGCGGTGCCTGCACAATCCGCTCTGCAACCATGGTGTGGACGCTGGGTCGTTCCGATGGTTCAGTACCGACCTCGATTTGGGTCCATTGGTACCTCATTCCTGGGCCACTTTACATTCATTTCAAAATGGAGCTGCGTTATCACCAAGAATTCAACTACAGTAATAGTAATTGATTTTTATTGTATATATATATAATATGTATGTGCATACATACCAAACATGTGTGTTTGCAATTAGCTGAGGAATCTGAGACACACGTAGCACAGATCGTTTTAGGCCTTTAGGCTGTTTTGTTCGGGGGCAACGCCTGAGATCAAAGACTCTTAGCCATCTTAGCCCAAATCTGTGAAGTAATGGAAACTGGTCTTGGGCATTCCCCGTTCACTGTGCAACTGCAACTCACTGCTGCGATGACAAGTTCTCCAGACCGTGGGAGTTGCTGCTGTAATTTCTTAGGGCCACCCAGAATAATACTGTATCCTTCCCAGTAGATCCCCCACAGGGTGCATTGCCAACATCTCCAATATCCTTCTGATTCCCCAAACGGTTTTGTAAATCCCAAGTTTAGATGGCTCATTCACGTTAAACTACCATGATTTCCGGATTATATCCAAGTATTTCTCATGGCTAACTCTCTGTTTTGGCTTGTAGTTTCCTTGATTTCAGATGATTAAAACTGATTAAATCATACTAAAAACCATATTCCTGTTGGTTAACTCACCATTTTGGGATGCTGACTCCCTGATTTGCGGCTTGAATCCCTACGATTCCCGAAAACTTTCGGTCCGCCTCGGACAAATCCAGGATGGAACTCTCTGATGTGTCCTGGATAGGCGTCATCCATGAGCCCCTCAGAAATAGAACGGGAAAATCCTGCAAACATAGTGGTAAAATCAATTCTCTATCCTTTGGGGGTTAATATATATATATATTATATATATATATATATGTTGAAATTATTTAAATATGTAATATATTTATAACATCTTTTGAATTTGCATGTACATGTACATTATGTTGCATTAAACCAAATTACACTAAATTACATTACATTACAGTACATTTCATTGCAGTACATTGCGGTACATTGCATTACTTCACATCACATTGCATTACATACATACCTGGCTAAGTTTTTTAAATCATCCCCAAATATGCTAGTCAGTTTGGATGATGATCCAAATAGGATGGAAACTAACACATGTTTGAGGCCAGCAACCAGACAATTCTACACCTACATACGCTATATGCTCCTCAGAATGCGGATTTCAATGGATTAGATAAGATTGGGCCCGATTTACCAAATCTTTTGTTGGAGATGATCCCCGCACCTGCACCTTTGTATCATGTCAATGCCGAACCTTTTGTGGATCACTAGAAAGTGAAGCGGAGGGACCTTGAGGACAGCCACACTGGATACCGTTTTTTCTGGGTGCTGGCTTATCTTCTTGAACAACAATAAAAAGGCTTCAGAAAAAAAGGGATCTTATTTCAAAATGCAATCGACATGCACAGAAGCTAAGCAGCATGTCGTTGTTTGTTACCTTGCCTGCAGCATTACTTTTTTTGCATACCTGCCTCTATTTGAAATCAAGTCAAGTGGTAGAACAAAACTGAAATGCCAGGATTCCTTCAAGTCTCACATCAAGCAGCAGGGCCACAGAGGTCATATAGTATCGACTGGCTGGCAAACAATTTTCTCTGATAAACTCATATTTGATATGGTTCGGAATACTTGGGTCCTCCCCAACCTATGAATTACTTCCTGGAGAAACCGACTAGTCCCCGTCACCGTATCGTGTCCTGCTTGCGCAACATCGGATGACTGGGACTCTTGCCTCGTCCGCCGACCGGGCACGGGTCACTTCAATTGGACCAGATATGACACACCCTTGTTGGGATTTATTGGGTAATCATCTTACCCATGTACTCACTACCATAACTAATATATATATATATATAACTATCACAGTCGTGACTCACAAAACTGGGTTACCCCAGGATAGGGCTCATCACCAGGCTTACTGAGCACATGCTGTTGCCACCCATCGTTCTATATCGCCAGATCATAGATCATGGCTGGGACTCCGAGAATCCAAGATCTGAACCGCAGTAATTGAAACCATCAGTTGCAGTATCCAATTTGACTCCTAATATCCAATTGTTTGTGATTGTGATTGTGATTGCTGCTGGTGTTGGTATTCTGAAACCACCAGCCAGTCATGGTATCCCCTACACCGGACCGTCTGACTTGGCCTGGCGCTGGCTGTGCTGGTTGCCCTGGCTGACCCGTGACGGATTCCAGGACGTGAACCAATTCGCCACTCTGCGCCGCCATGAACATAGCCTCAGGATGGGGAAATCTGCTGACCTTGGGATACCTTGGAGAACATTGGATTTCGTTCTGCAAATATTGGGATTAACCAACTACAAGTGTGATTGTGGTTCCAAACACCACCAGGATCAGAACACCCCGCCCAGTATGAATCCACACTATCCACTGTTACGGTGTCGGGGCAAAACCCAAGAACTATCTTGCATCAATATAAGACCCTGCCAGTTCCTTGCGACTTCAATCCACGTATGCTCAAGTCAACTTATCA